TTCCAGAGATGGGGGCTCCCCAGACGTGTAGAAGAATCCCTGAGGCAGCTTATGCCAAACCCACCATTGTATTACCAGTCTGAGAATATTTCTCAGGTCTCCGTTCATAGTTTTGAAACCATTTCCCATGAGACCTTGTGTTCATGTATGGCCAGCCAACCCATCCAGACCTTCTGGGTTTCTGAATGGTCCATAATGAACCCAGAAGAAAGACAGTACTGTGAGCAAATCCCAAACCCTATGGCTCTAGCCTTGCCATCTCCAGACCTTAAACTCCTAAGTGGCTTCTATCCACTGCCTGGAGGCCAGGCTAGTGACTTGGGGAGCCACCTGCAGAAGAAATACAGCCAGCTATTCTGTGGCCTCCCTTCTCTGCACAGTGAGTCTTTGGTTGCCACTTTCTTGGGCTCCCAAGGACTCTCCAAGAAGGGGGAAATGTCCAAGACCCCCATGAAGGGCCCTTTCTTCTTCAAGGACCTCTCCTTCTTCCCCCTGCTACATAAAACTCCACCCCTATCAGCACCCCCCTCTTCCTCATCTTCCCCAAATTGGGTGTCTCCATCTGACCAGCAACAAGCTGAGATCAAAATCCCATTACTGACTCCAGCTGAGTGTGAAGCCTTGGAGTTGCACCTGCTAAAGAGGCAGCTCCAGATTCAGTGGGGCTTTTCAGCTATCTTTGAGGGAAGTCAGCATGCCCAGAGCCCCATGCAGTATGAGCCCTGTTACAAAGCCCAGTCTCCTGAGATGGTGAAAACTTCCTGGCCAGAGAAGCCTGTCTCAGTTCTCACCAGGGAACTATTCTTCTTCCCGGAGCATGCGCGGAGGCTACTGGAACGCCACCTCCAGAAGCAGCTAATTCACCATCGCTGGGGCCTGCCCCAGAAGATCCAGCGGTCCATTCGGTTGCTCCATCCTTACACTGACCAACAGACTTTGTCCTGGAGCAGCATAGCACTAGCCAGGATGAACATCCCACAGCCTACAGCCCTAGAGGCCAGTGGGAATAGTGCTGTGTTCTCACCCATCGTGGACCCAGCATTCATCCCCATACCACAATTTTTCGACCAGGCCAGGACAAAATTGCAGAGGCACATTGACTCCAAATATGGACAGATCCACCAGGGCAAGGTTCCTACCTGTGTATTTACCTCCTGGGACTGCAGAATTCCTGCACAACTGGCAATAACTGCCTTCCCCTGTATTCCAGAAAGCCAACCCCTGGAGCCACAGGCAGCAAGTGACCCTGACCTACATAACAAAGTTATACCCTGGATGCCAAAGGCCCTTGATCAGCAGCAACAGGCCTTACCAGGTACTGTCACTGAACACCCCAAGCTGCCCAAAGCCTTGTCTGAGGGAGCCAAGGAGAAACTGGAGA